CCTCGCACCCCCTCCGAGGTGTACACAGTGTGTTTGGATCGAGGGCAGTGTGCGAATCGGGGCTGAACGAGAGATCAGGAAGTAGGTCAGTGTTTGTGAAGCAAAAAGATCACCCAAAACATATTATTTCAGGATTTTTTCACAACCAGCTTGTAACCCTTTTCCAGGGCGTTTAATTTCGAGGAAATCAACTCGGTATTTATAACAGTCTCATCATGTGAAGATACAAATGTAGTAATGTGGTCTGCTTTTCTAGATTAAGAGTTGGCACCATTGATCTGGCTTCCCAGCTCCCAGCTGTTCTAGTGTTGGTGTCATGGCGGCCGCGATCGCGAACACAAGACTGATGTCATTAGAATTTTCTTTTTTTTGAAAAATTCGTTCTCTCTCGATTCGTTTAAACCGGAAAATCCTTCGTAATCCAGCCGCCTCAGTGTGTTGATTTGAGTTGTTAAGACGTTTACGTAAAACGCTGGGCTATAAGACGTTTTTCTGTGATAATGCGGTGAAGTGATTGTTGTCGTTGGTCAGGATCAACAGTAGGAAATCTCCTAGAAACCATCGACGAACCTCCATCTTATCTGATCACCATATCGGTAAGACCTTGCTCCTAAGTACTCTCTTCTTAACAATTCAATCGACTAAAATTACTTCCCATCACCATCAGTTATTTTGATTCGTGTTTTTCATATTAAGAAAATGTGTTTTCACACTATTTGGATACAATCAGTGGCATTGAGTTACCTCAGTTGTTTTGTTAAACAAGAACAATCCTAAATTTTCGGTTGACAGTTTGATAATTTTTAGTCATTCATTCTCAATTGTTGTTCAAACCTAAGTAATGAGTTGATGTCGCAACCAAAGTAATGGCGTGTACCTACTTGGTGGAAGCATGGTTTGCATTGCTTTCTTGTTCTGTTCTTTGGTTTCAAGCTGTTGCTGCTGAGAGCAGTACAATTCGATGTCTTTAGTTGCTATACACTCTTATTACCTAGGATATTAGGGTAATTCGTCATTTACCTGATAAGGTTCCAACGATGAACAGCTGGTGTGACACTTGTGGTTTGATCAACCTGCTTGTGGGGGTTGCTGCGTAAGAGCCATATAATTTAAGTGCAAACTATTGAACATAGAAGTGAATAATTTTTAGTATACTCCAGTGTGTTTGCTTGTACTTCTACCTGGGCTCTGAGTGCAGAGGTGTAGTGAAGGGCTGACCGTGAGACACGGCCGCGTCACGCCCCGGCAGTTGGACGCTGTGTAATAATACTAATACGAATGTCGCATCGCGCCTCTCCGCACGCTTTCTTCTTTTTGGGGGGTTTAATTAAAACTGGGGTGCTAGGGTTATAGAACAGGCGACACGAGAGGCGGCAGAACTTGCAGTACTTGGCGTTTATTAAATGGGGGAGAGAAGGAGGACTTTTAGGGAGAGCTGTGCATCCCGCCTTACGCATCCGACAAAACGTCTTCCCCTTCGCCCGCCACCCCTCCCCTCCTACCCGACTTCCCCGTCGCATATTCAAGTCCGGAAATATTCCATGCGCGACCCAAACTCCAAAGACAGAATGCGTCGTTCTCTACCCCTGTCTTATGCTTATTTCGCCCTCTAGTTTAGAAGGTAAAGCTAAGGACGGGACTGGTTCACGCCAAACATGACTTTTCCGGGTAGGAAGCCAATAATTTAGTTCCAGAAGACTGGTATCTACGCCAACTATGTTTTGAATTCAAAGTTACAGTAAATTAGTTTATTTTAAGTTAAATTAGAGATCACAGTTTACAAATGCAATCAGCAGGTTCCACCGTCAGCATTATCAGTACATCATTTTTTCGGCGTACATGCCAGCCTCCTTGTCCTCCTCGGGGTGGGCGGCGTTCCACTCCAGGGAGCGCTGGATGGCCACGGGGATCTCGGGGGCGACGGGCAGGTGAGCGGCCACGGGGTGGTAGCCGAGCTCGTCGGCGACGTACTCCACCTTGTAGTTCTGGCCCTCGGGGCTGGTCCACTCGTAGGCGCCCTGCACCTTGCCGGCGTCCTTCTCCAGGGCGGCCTGCTCCATCATGGCGATGCCGTTGTTGGTCTTGAAGTGGTACACGTAGCGGCCGGGCTCGTCCATGTCGAAGGCCATGTCGACGATCTCAGCGCCGCCCTCCTTGGTCATGGCCTTGGACTTGAGCATGCGGCCCTCGGCGGAGGCGCCCTTGACCAGCATCATGCGGGCCTCGGGGGCGGCGAGCAGGTGCTCCTCGTGGCGCTCCCAGGACGCACCGGGCAGCATCTCCACCTTCTTCACCTCCTTGGCGAGGAACTGGGGGGCGGCGGAGGCCGCGGCGACCAGGGCGAGAACAACGAGGACCTTCATGGTGGTGGTTGCTGTGAGCTGTGAGCTGGTCAGTGAGAGACTGATGCCGGACGTCCGATTTCGGT